GCGCGCGTCTGCACTTCGTCCCAGTTTTTGCAGATGGTTCTCGCGACGGCACGCGCGCAAGGGCGTTCTAAAGATTTCGGCATGCGCGCGCGAAGCCCGTTTGGTAGTATTTTATATTTGAAAATCTGGAAACACGTATGGTTCTCGTAAGAATCCGCAAAAGCGCGTAAGCTTTTTTTTAGAAAAGCAGTGTTGCGAAACCATATATATATATGAACTTGATATTTAACTCTTCCGAAACCTAAGTTTTTGGAAGGATTTCGGCATGCGCGCGCGACGACGCGCGCGTGTGCACTTCGTCCCGTTTTTTTTCAAGGGATGTTTGAACACTTATGGTTTTTGATAAACGATTGTGCGCGCATAGTAATTTTTTGCAGGTAGGATGGCGGGGGGGAGTGATTCCGGCCTTTCTGGGATAGTACGAATTCGAATTTAAGATGGACGATGGGGCAAAATCAAACGTACATTGCAATACGAACAAATGACCCGTTAACTCCGGGGGGGGGTAGAGTCTATTCTTCATTAAGAAATGATAATCTATGTGGTGCACTCAATCACTTGCCGAAGTTGAAGTTGTCAACTCCACTGCTCGCGCAATCATCCCACCCACCCACCCGCCACTTGGTTTGCAAAACCCATGCGGGACCGAGCACAGATCGTTCCGGGGTCGTCTTGGAGCCCTCGGGGGTGTTTCAAGAACGCCCCAAGAAGGCCGGAGAAGCAAGACGGCCGACGACGACAACGACGACGACGACGACGGCGGCGACGACGACGACGCCGACGTCGACGACGACGAAGACGACGACGCCGACGCCGATGACGACGACGAAGACGACGACGACGTCGCCAACGCAGACGACGACGAGGGAGGAGGGAGGACGACGACGGCGACAACGACGACAACGACGACAACGACGACAACGAGGGAGGAGGGAGGACGGCGACGACGCGAACGACGAAGAAGGAGGAAGGACGGCGAGGGAGGAGGGAAGACGACGACGAGACGACGACGACAACGACGACCGCGACGGCGACGAAATAGGAGGGACGACGACGAGACGCCGACGACGGACGACGACGACGACGAGGGAGGAGGAGGAAGGACGACCACGGCGACAACGACGACGGAAACGACCACGACGCAAAAAAGGACGACGACGACGAACACGAGGAAAGACAGAGGACGACGTAGGCGACGACGACGACGACGCGGGAGGAGGGAGGACGGCGACGACGACGACGACGACGACGCCGCAAGAGTGCGCGCGCACGCTTTTGTTGAAAATCCGTGTTGCGAAACCTTGTGTTTTTGTAAGTTTTTTGGACGCGCGATTTTGAAATCCTTCCGAAACCGATGGGTTTTGAAGGATTTCGGCATACGCGCGCGACGACGCGCGCGTTTGCACTTCGTCCCGTTTTTTGCAGAGGATTCTCGCGACGGCACACGCGCAAGGGCGTTCGACAGATTTCGACATGCGCGCGCGACGCCCGTTTGGTAGCATGTTGCATAAATATTGAAAAACCAATGGTTTTCTTAAGATTTCACAAGAGCTTGCGCGTAAGCGTTTTTTAGCAAATCAGTGTTACGAAACCCTGTGTTTTTGTATGTTTTTTTGAAACTCGATTGCGACATCCTTCGGGCACCGAAGGTTTTTGAAGGATTTCGGCATGCGCGCGCGACGACGCGCGCGTGTGCACTTCGTCCCATTTTTGCAAGGGACTCGCGAAAAAATGCTATGTTAGAACAAACAATGTCACCGCATAGTGTTTTTTTACAAGGGAACCTCAGGGGGGGGATACCGACTGGCCTGGGACATTGCGATTTCATATTTAGGATGGACATGTGGTCAGAATCATCCATGATTTACATACCCGAAAGGGGGGCGGACAACGCCAGGGGGGGTAGAGTTTATTTTTTTTAAGCAAGGAGAATTGACTACCCTGCACCGCGATTGACCACCTCCACTGCTCGCGCAAACATCCCACCCACCCGCCCGCAACTTGGTTTGCAAAATCTTTTAAGACCGTGACGGCGGGTACCAACTGGCACTTGGCAACGACAGCGACGCCGACGACGACAGCGACAACGACGACGACGCCGCCGCCGACAACGACTACGACGACACCGGCGACGTCTCCAACGACTTCGACGACGCCGACAACGACGACGACGACAACGACACCGACGACGACGACGACGACGCCGACGCCGACGACGACGACGACGATGACCACGACGACGACGATGACGACGCCGCCGACGACGACGACGACACCGACGACGACGACGTCAACGACGCCGACGACGACGACGACGACGACGACGGTGGCGACGACGACGACGCCGACGTCGACGACGACGATGACGACGACGACGCCGACGCCGACGACGACGACGAAGACGACGACGATTTCGCCAACGAAGACGACGAGGGAGGAGGGAGGACGACGACGGCGACAACGACGACAACGACGACAAGAGGGAGGAGGGAGAACGGCGACGACGCGAACGACGAAGAAGGAGGAAGGACGGCGACGCCGACGACGACAACGACGAGAGAGGAGGGAAGACGACGACGACGACAACGACGATGACGACGACGACGGCGACGAAATAGGAGGTACGACGACGAGACGCCGACTACGGACGACGACGACGACGACGAGGGAGAAGGAGGAAGGACGACCACGGCGACAACGACGACGGAAACGACCACGACGCCAAAGAGGACGACGACGACGAACACGAGGAAAGACAGAGGACGACGTAGGCGACGACGACGACGACGCGGGAGGAGGGAGGACGGCGACGACGACGACGACGACGCCGCAAGCGCGCCCGCACGTTTTTGTTGAAAATCCGTGTTGCGAAACCTTGTGTTTTTGTAGCTTTTTTGGACGCGCGATTTTGAAATCTTTCCGAAACCGATGGGTTTTGAAGGATTTCGGCATACGCGCGTGACGACGCGCGCGTCTGCACTTCGTCCCGTTTTTTGTAGAGGATTCTCGCGACGGCACGCGCGCAAGGGCGTTCGACAGATTTCGTCATGCGCGCGCGAAGCCCGTTTGGTAGCATTCGGTGAAAATCTGGGAAAAACATCTGGTTTTCTTAAGATTTCGCAAGAGCTCGCGCGTAAGCTTTTTTAGCACATCAGAGTTTCGAAACCCTGTGTTTTTGTATGTTTTCTGGAAACTCGATTGCGAAATCATTCCGGCACCGAAGGTTTTTGAAGGATTTTGGCATGCGCGCGCGACGACGCGCGCGTGTGCACTTCGTTCTGTTTTTCTGCAAGGGATTCGTGAACAAGTGTCATGTTAGAACAAAAAATGTCCCCGCGTATCGCTTTACCAGGGAACCTCAGGGGGGCCGATCCCGGCCCCTTTGGGATAGTGTAAACTCAAATTTAGGATGGACATGTGGTCAGAATCATCCATGATTTACATACGCGAAAAGGGGGGCGGATAACGCCGGGGAGGGGGGAGAGTCTATTCTTTTATTAGACAGGAGAATTAATTTCTGCTCGCAGTGAGTTGTCCACTCCACTGCTCGCGGAAACATCCCACCCACCCACCCGCAATTTGGTTTGCAAAATCTCTTAAGACCGTGACGGCGGGTACCAAACGGCACTTGGCAGCGACAGCGACGCCGACGACGACAGCGACAACGACGACGACGACGCCGCCGACAAAGACAACGACGACACCGACGACGTCTCCTATTACTTCGACGACGCCGACAATGACGACGACGACGACGACACCGACGACGCCGACGCCGACGCCGACGTCGACGACGACGACGATGACAACGACGACGACGATGACGACGCCGACGACGACGACAACGACGACACCGACGACGACGACGATGACGTCAACGACGTTACGACGACGACGACGACGACGGCGGCGGCGACGACAATTTAGGTGGCGACGGGGTGGCGACGGCGAGCACGGAGCCGCCAGGCCGGTAGCCAGGCCCATACGACGTGCAGCGACGAAGCGCTGACCGCGCGGCGACGGCAAGCACGGAGCCGCCAGATCGCCAGCCAGGTCCAGACGACGGGCGGCGACGAGGCGGTGACGTGGCGGCAACGGCCAGCGCGGAACCGCCAGACCGCCAGCCAGGCCCAGTTCCCTAGGAAAGAAGCAGGACCCCCTAAGTGCAACTATTTTTGGGGAGTATATACGTACACACAGAAAGTGAGAGACAGAAAGAGAGAGAAAGAGAGAGAGAGAGAGGGAGAGAGAGAGAGAGAGAGAGAGAGCGAGAGAGAGAGAAAGAGAAAGGAATAGAGAGAGGGAGAGAGGGAGAGAGAGAGAGAGAGAGAAAATAAATATACACCTAAATAGGTAGATGTGGTGATTGAAGTCTGCAGCCCTGTTGAAGGCATCGCCTTAGTATAGTGAACGTTCCAGATGCCCAGTGTATCGAAAACAAGGAGACGTATTCGTAGACTGACAGTCCTCGCGCTCCAGCGCTACCATCATATGCAAGCACGAGTCGTATGTTGTATGATGTGAACAGCGATGCTCGCTCGAGAATGTCAGTTTGGATCCAGGACCCTGAATTGACGTGGCGTGCGGCCTACGTGCATATACGCGGGAGCAATGGCGTGAGGTGAGGGGAACAGCCCACCGAAGTGTTCAAAATGATTATCGAGCGTTCTCCAGTACATGCATTGAAGCAGTATTTCAACCTCCTGCTGTATGTGCTTGGTCAGCAGAGTGGAGGGGCGGGGAAGAAGACCCTCCAGAAGAACCCATAGAGCCTCTCAGGCTCCTCCCTCCTCCCTCCCTCCCTCCTCCCTCCCTGCCTCCCTCCCTTCCTCCCTCCTCCCTCCCTCTCTGCAGGAGGGGGAGGAGGAGAATGAGGAGGAGGAGGTGGAGGAGGAGGGGGGGGGGGGAGGAGGAGGAGGAGGAGGAGGAGGAGGAGGAGGAGGAGGGAGGAGGAGGAGGAGGAGGAGCAGGGAGGGCCTATCCACCCCGGCGCCTGGGAGGCCTCCCGGACGGCGTGCGGGCGACCCGCGGCAGCGACCGCCCGCACGTCGTCGAGTTGCTG